TATATATAATAATAATAATAATAATAATAATAATAAATGCCTATCGTAGTCCTAAGGAATGTGGTGGTACCCATGCCGACTCTTTGGCGAAAGTAATACACACAGTTGATACCATATACCATACATCGTGAACAAACAATTTCTAATAATACCTGACGAACCATGGCGCAACCGATATTTTCTAGGCAAATTTTTACTAAACGCAGCACTCACAATGAAGCCGCATCTGTAAGCTTGTTATTCAGTCGGCGCGGGGCACGTTAATTCCTGCGTTCATCTCCAGGCACTAGCAGACGAGATCACCACGCGTAAATATAGCTTACAGGCGCACGCGTGCGCGTAGTCGGTCGTAAAGCGGCAGCACCGCGCGACCCGCTCACTTGACGCACGATAATGTCTCTACGGGTTCCGACCGAAATAGCGCCACAATAAATAAAACACGGGGACACCGACAACAGGCGCGCGCCATCGCACATGCACGCCCACGACGGCAGTATTGGCACTCGACGCGCACCGGGCAACGTAAAGGCCGGCACACATACACACACGCGCGCACACGGGCGACGGTACGCACGCACACGCACGCACACACACACAGCGGTCGCACGCGCCTCACTCCCTCGCTCCCGCGCGCACGTGTGCGGCGTGGTCTGGTGTGGCTTGCTGCAGCAGCGCTACTAGCAATGCTGGCACGCGAGCGCGGGGTAGCGACGAGGAATGTGCAGCCGATACGTATGTAGGCCGATACGCCGACGACCGGAGAAAATGAAAACAAAAAACGCGCCGAGCTTTAACGCGCCCGCGATGACACGTGAGGGTGGCGGATGGGAAGGGAAAGGGGGAGGGGGGTGGAGGGGGAGGCCCAGCTGCCTCTCCAGCGTCTGCCAACATTCTCAACCTCCAAGATCGGGACTTGGATCCTTACCCCCCCCCCTCCGGTGATCATCAGCGGAGCGACAGCAGACGCCATTGCTATATACTCGGCAACGAGGGAGGGGGTAAAGTTCGCTTACTTCCCCGCTCCCGCAGACCCTACCCAGTAAGTGGCCAGATGGCAGACCAAGGCATGGCGAGATGATATATCCACAGGCACTTGGACCGTTTCAAAAATAAAATGATGGTTAATAAATACAACTTGTCAGTACTACTACTACTACTAGCCCTACCAGTACCAGTACCAGTACCAGTAATAGTCTTAATGTTTGATTTGACCTAATAACTTCACTTCAACACCGTCCAATACACCGCTGCAACACATAGCACGCACGCCCTTGTGCATGAACAAATACACAGTGATAATAAGTGATCCATCATTTTATTATTGAAACGGTCCAAGTGCCTGTGGATATAAGCTTCAACCAACTCTCCGGTATTACACGAGCACGCGGGTAGGTGTAGTAGCGGTGACTACGCGCACGAACAGTTTTTTCAATGGCCACGAAGTTGTGCCATCATTCCAGTAACCGAGACCGCAATGTTGTCATCACTCTCCTTACTACTATACTACTATATACTATACTATATACTATATACTATACTTTACTTAGCTATGTCAGCACACTACGAGCAAGATACGAGCAAAGCAGATGAATGATTTCAGATGTCTTCAATGTTACCAACGATCTGTAAGCACGGGCAGCAATGAAGAAGTAGCACACACGTGCAAGCTTCACAGACAGACATATAGTATCATTGCACCCCCGCTGGCAGCAGCATCTTAACAAGTTCTGCCGATATTATGTCAGCAACGAAGCGTTGATGAATGAACATGGTACGTGCACGCATGAATAAATATATAATGAATGAATGGATGTATATGGAGGACGGGTGTGTGCGCGCGTGTGTGCGTGGGTGCCTGCCTGTGTGCGTGCGTGGCTGCGTGCCTATCTGTACATCTGTACGGACGGACGGCCAGACGGACGCCAGTACGGACATACGGACAGACTGATAGATGGATTGATGGGTGGATGGACGGACGGACGGACGGATGGATGGATGGGCGGATTGATGGATCGATGGTTGAATAAATGAATTGATGGCTGAAAGATTTGAATGTACGAAAAAAACCAAGCCAACTAATAAATCGAGACCTAATTACCCGATTGTGAAATGTTGGTAATACATTATTCTAATAGCTGCCAAAAATTTAGCCACAGACCTAGCCAATACCGTACTATAGAATTTCCACGCAACATGCTTAGAAAGAATAGTTGAGTAATTTATACTACAATTTAATCTTTAATGATTTCGCTAACTAACTGCATTTGATATGATAATTATCTAAGATGATACTGAATTACCGACAGCGCATTATAAATATCAGGAGTGCATAAAACGTTTTAACAATCCAGCCCGTGCATTGCGAATTGATTAATAAAAAGTCACAGCTGTTCTCGTGTCGCTAACTTTAGTACCAGCCACACAACTCGCCGCAGCCTCAGTGGCAATCTACAGCATATTTCAGTCTGTAAGAAAGTCTGCAAGTTCAGCAGGCGGCCTG